TTTGACAGGGTCATTGGAGGAATCAAGCACAGGATTTACCCCACCCCCACCCCCATCATTTTGACCTAACTACTTCTAAATTTGGCTCAAAACAAGGAAAGGTTGATATTTGTAGTCATGTCCTTAAGGGGAAGCACATAAATTGTTAGAGCAGGTTCTCTAGACTAGTGATGTTCAGTGAATGTGAAAGCTTGGCATAGCAACACTGAGCTGTCTAGACTGGGCAAATCCTCTCTCTCTGTAGAAGCATCGCCAAAGCTGCCTACCCCTACCACTAACCCTGGGGACTCTAAGGTCAGGAGACACCACAGAGGAATATGCTGTGTCTGTGCCTGCCTTGTATGAAAAACTCACTCCTGACAATATGATTTCTTTGTCTGAATTGGAAACACACTCCGGCCTTGAAGTGTGTGTGGTGGTGCTTTCTTCCTGCCCCTGAAACCCAGAGAAAAGACTAAAGTTTAGCCACTAAACACTGGTGTGTGTTACAGCATGCATTGCATGGTCTAGACCTGACCTTCTTGTTCCTGGTCACATGACTCCTGCCCTGAAAAATAAATCAATCATAAAGACATTGGGAAATCTTATGCTCTGGGACATTTTTTCTTTTTTTTTTCAAATTTTATTTTTTAAATATATTTTATTGATTATGCCATTACAGACTCACCTCTTTATTCCCCTCCACCCTGCACACCCCTCCCCCACTATTCCCCCCTTTAGTTTGACCACGTGACTCACGTTCTTTAGATTCTATATTTCCCATACTATTCTTTCCCTCCCCCTATTTTCTATCTACTGTCTATGCTACTTATTTTCTGTACCTTCTCCCCCCTTCTCCTCCTCCCACTCCTCTGTTGCTAACCCTTCATGTGATCTTCATTTCTATGGTTCGCTCCTGATCTAGCTGTCCTCTTAGTTTGCTTTTGTTTTAGGTGTGGTTGTTAATAACTGTGAGTTTGCTGTCCTTTCACTGTTTGTATTTTTTATCTTCTCTTTTTTAGGTAAGTCCCTTTAACATTTCATATAATAATGGCTTGGTGATGATGAACTCCTTGAACTTGATCTTATCTGAGAAGCACTTTATATGCTCTAGGATATTAAGTCATCCAAATTTATATGAGAAATTTCAATGGCTCCTAAACCTTAGAAAGTTAGTGAAAAAAATGGAATGAATGAAACTCTTCTGTTTATCATACAACAAAACAAATAGCAGAAAGAGGAAATGATTTAAAAACAAAATAATCAGACTATTGACAATCATTTTAACACAGATGGCCACTAAAATTCCCTCTTCCCTCAAGAAACCACCTTCCACTTTTGTCTAATTTGACACCAGCTATTGCTCAAAAGAACTCCATCATTCAAGATGGAAAGAGACATGAGGTGGTGTAGTGAACACACAATACAATATAAAGATAATGTATTATAAACTTGTACACCTGCAACCTCAATAAATTCAATAAAGCAGTTACAAATATTCTATAGTAACAAAAAAGCAAAGAGTATTTAGAACAGATATTTTTTAAAGAGAAGCAATCCAATACCAGTTCTCCTTATGACCTCTGTCTCTCAGAATGTCTGTTCCCTGTAATTTCTAGATGGCTCTTTTTTCCTCCTGTTGGGGGGGGGGAGAAAGGGATGACTGTCCTTAATTATTGCTTTGTTTGATTTATTAAATTCAGAGTAATTATCTAAAATGGGGGTAATCTCATTAGAACTTAGACTGCTCTATTATTTCTGGGGATGGGGTTAATTTCATATTTGCAGTCATAAACTAAAGAGTTCAAAATCCAATTACAAGGGCTTAATTTCATAGCAACTAAAAAGAAACATTTCTATCATAAGGGAGAATAAATACTGTGCTACTTCAGGAAAATTTGTCAGGAACTGGGGGCCTAGGAGAAGGGTCTCCATTACTGTCATTCAACTCTGCATGATAATGCATCACCAAGGCTGGTGAGTCTGTGGAAGGGAGTAAATTTAATCAGCTAAAGTCAAAGTAATCAGGCTAGGGTTGACACATTTCAAGAAAGGTCAGCATTAAGCCCATTTTCTTCTCTTTAACTCAGTTACCATGTCATCGTCTCTGAGTTAGTATTCCTCCAGCCTGAACCTATAAAATGGATGTCTGCTGCAAAGCGCTAACTATGTTAGAACTAACGGGATTTATTTCACATTCTATTATTTGTTATTCCTCATAATTTTCCATGTGTCATGCTGGAAGACTGGTGAGGTAATATGATTAAGCTGAGAGTTGAATAGCTAATGTATATTAGCGAATCAATCTGAATTTGTGTATAACCCAATCATGTCCCCACCTGCTATGGAGAGGAAATTCATTTGCTTACATTCCTCTTCAACTCAGTTATCATTTGCCAGAATTAGGTGGTGAAGTCACATGTGCTTCTGTATTGGTATGAAGGTGTCACTGGGATTTGGAAACAACTGCCTTAAATTGGGTGTTTCTGGCTGATTCTGCTGCCTCAGGCAAGGGAGGTGAGGATGACGCCATGATGTGAATGCACTTCAGAGATGGCAAACCTTTATAGGTGGCAGGGAAAACTGCCTTTGAGTTCCCCCTACTTCATAATTTCCCCCTCATTCTAAATCTGACACATTTTGCAGGCATAGTGCCCCAGGCAGCATCTACTTACAACTTCTAAAAAGGAAGTCCAGCCAGAAAGAGCTAAGTTTACATATTTTTTTCTAAAGGTCCAAGGGGTTCCCAAGATGACTGAGAAGAAATAGAAATCCCACATCAAATTTCACCAAATGTTGGATAGGTGCTCATATGATTCAGTGGTGGCCAAATCTGGAAAAGACTTTTGGGTCCCATTCCTCCCCATCACGCACTGGAACAGCAATATGTTGACAGCGCTGGTCCTGGGAGAGCAATAGCACCTCTAGGTGCCCTCCTGACTGCACAGGGAAAAGACAGCACATTGAGCCCAGGGTTTGACTTTGTTGAATAAGCTTACACAGTATTTATCCTTGATGTGCTCTCTTGATAGTGTGATTCTGAAATAATATTGAATCTGTAAAACACCATAATGGCTTTACATTGCTAATTTTAGAAATTCATACTATTACCCAAGGGCCAGCACTCCAATAAGGTGCCTATGAGCTACAGAGTAAATAAGATGAACTTTTCCATGAAAAAAGAAGAGCTCTTTTCCACAATGAACACAGGAACACTCATACTTTCCAAGCAAAGTAAAACTGTAACATTCTTCTGTGTAGGTCTGTTTGACTTTCCATATCAGAAACAAATGGAGATTCCAATTATTCACCCAGTAGAGAACCAAAGTCCTGACCACTTTGGCCCATGCCTTCCCTGGTCCTTATCACAATAAGGGGCATGCAAATCAAGCAGAACATGGATATAATAGAAAAATGCAGCAAACAGCATGGTGAAGAGGAAAGACCACTAGATTTTAAGTCACTAGTCTTAGGTTCAAACTCAACTTCACCATTTAGTAACAGAAGCTCTTAGACATGTCTCTACTGGAATAGTAAGACTGGACCAAATGAAGCTAAGGTCCTTCCCAGCTGTAAATTGTCACTAATTCTTGATATTTCTCTCCTTTACTCTCTCCATTATTGCTCCCTTCAGTTCCTTCACTTCACATAATCATGAGACTCCACTGTCTTTCAAATTCTATTAACTTTTCTTTTTTGTCCATATAAATCACCATCAATGATTTTTTTGGCCCTGTAATTAAATTACTCTTTTGGTTCTTGTCATCTGTGAAATCCATGATAGTCATGGGCATAATGTCACTTTCAGATGCACCTCTCAAGATGCTTTGGCCATGCCTACCACCTGCAGGCTTAGACTACATGATAACAGTAACACAGCTACTTCAGTGTCTGATATGGGCACTATAGAGAGATAAAGTAGTTAAAATAAACCAAACACTATACTCTAACTGCTTTTGTAAATGGTCATTGATCATTAAGGTTGATGGTTTAATTTTGGAAGTCAGAGCAACTTTGTATTTTTTTAGTTCTCCATTGTGGTATGTTACTGACACCAGAGCATGTGTTTTACATGGAACTGTGTTGCACATATTCATGAGGGGTCCTGAGCTCAGTTACCTGGGGGATATCTGAATTTACATCTGTTCTTCTTTTAAACAGCATATAACCAAAGGAAGAAGATATACTTTAAGGCATGAACCCAGAAAGACAAAAGGAATTAAAGAGCAGGAACAGCAACAAAATTAATCCTAATAAGCAGAAAAGATGATGACAGTGACACTTACTACCTTTAACTGTTTTAAGATAATTTAATTAAAAAATTTACTCATCTTTGCTGCCTAAAGTTGACACCCACTGCTCACTTTACCCTTTTTCGCCTTTGCCTATCTCAAATGTTCTCTGTGCACCTTTGCACACCACGACCAGCAGCTCCCAGATGGTGAGGGCTGTGTGTCACCCAGTGGATGTCACAGGCACTATGCATCAGACCTGGTAATTGCTAGGTGCTCACTGAATGCTGGCCCAGTGAATGAGGCAGCTGCTTGGGCACAAATGACTAAAGGTTCCTCTTCTATGATTTACAGGGTCACTGGGAAATAGCTGTCCAGCCGAGGACTACATGGCCTGTCACTCATGTCCAACATAAGTTCTGTTCAAAGTTGTACCCGAAGAAAATTGCACAAAAGCTACCATATGCCAGTTGTAAGTCTGAACAAAGATGCATTATGTAACTCTCCATGTTTTCCATTCCTCTGCCTTTTGGCTGGATTAGATGCCCAGGTGACAGCTATCCCTGGGGGACACCCTTCCCCAATCATTGATTGGACTGTACACAAGAAAGAAACTTCTGTGTCAGGCTACTGAAGATGTGGGGTTTATTTGTTATTGCAACTGGTACTACCCCTTATCTGTATAATACAGCAACCAAATGAATGAATGATCAACATTGGCATAAGCCAATGTTGATCACCTGCTATGTATCCATGGACAAACCCAGCACAAAGAGGACTTGACATCACCTTTAGGAGATCCAGTTTCAGATGCAGTTCTCCTTGAGTGGATGAACACAAAGCACCCACAATGATGCTCATGTATTCCTCAGCATTGATGACTGAGAGCTGTTCCAAGATGCTGAGTGAGGCTCCCCGGTACCATTCGTCATCCAGGAAGATCTTGATGAAAGGCACCATGCCATGGTCTTTCAGGACAACTGCAGACCAGACAGATAGTATAGGCTAGAGTGATAGAAGCTTCTGCACATCAGTGCCAATTATAAGAAAGCTTTTCCTTACAATATCCAAATTTGTTTTGCTACACTTTTATGTGTCTCTTTTGGCCATTATAATTTTTTTCAAGTTCTATACACACTGTTAAAATGAGAAGAAAAAAAGAGAAACTGTACAGTAGAGAATTAAAAGGAAAAACTTTTTCTCCAGTGAGAATTCTGTTCTGGGAAAAAAACTTTTTTTTTTTTTAATTTAGAAACCTAAGTAATACAAACTTTAACTACATATACCTATGCTGTTTATTTCTGCATAATTCCCTAATCCAAGGCAAAGGCAATTCTCTCTTTCTCTCTCTCTGTCTCTCTCTCTGTCTCTCTCTCTCTCTCTCTCTCTCTCTCTTTTGCCAAATTTCTCAGTGAAAGCAAACTAAAATTGAAGTTAAGAACATATTTAATTCTTTGGTATTTTCTTGGAAAGGAGGGAGATTAAAGAAATTTGGTGGGTAGTGTGCTTTTGTTTAAAAGTAATTCTAAGAATTTCCTCCCCAGGATCAATATTTGGAGTGATCATGTGGAATGAAAAGTAGGAAGTATCTAGATCATTCAAATGGCATGATATGGATTTGACTGGTCAACTCCACAGGCAGGGGTGGCCAGGTGCTCCCTGCATGGAAATTGCCTTTTTAAAAGTAGATTCCTGAGCTCTATGTTGGCCTGCTGCTAATTAAATCTCTGGGAGGGAGCCTAGAAATATGTACTTTAACCAGCACCACCAGGGAATTTTTTATAATTTAACATTAGAGACCCTCTGTCATAGGAAATTGTCATTCATATTTGGCATAGGTGATCTATGAGGGCTTCAGATAAAGACACCCCAAATCACCAAACCCACTTCTGTCACTTTGTCAATACACTGCTTCATAGTATAATATATTTGTATGCATATTCTGTGCACATATTTTAAAAAAACAATATAGAAGGTTCATAATCTTAGGAAGCTAAAAAAATTTTTGGATGGATGAAACTACTAAGTCCATCATAGGCTGGAAGCACATCAAATTAACTCTCTTAAAAAGTAAAAGCTTTTTTTGCCTCTATTTTACAATTTGGCTTTTTAAATTTTTGTTCAAGTATAGTTGTCTCCATTTTACCACTACCACTCCCTGCCACCCCATCCATCTCCACCTCCCACCCTCGATCCTATCCCCCTTTGGCTTTGTCCATTTGTTCTGTATATATGTTCCTTGATGATCCTTCCCTTTTTTTCCCTTGTAACCCACTCCCCTCTGGTTACTGTCAGTTTGTTCTTTATTTCAGTGTCTCTGGTTCTATTTTGCTTGCTAGTTTGTTATCTTGCTGCACTGACTGTATCCTTTAAAAAAATCCTAATCAACAATTAGAATTCTTTTTAAAGCAAACAGTCAGTGCAGCAAGATATTAACAGATTTTACATGAAAGCATGAGGTGGGGGATACTCTTTGATCTCAAATTTAGGATATATTTTTGATTCATAAACTTATTTATCAGCTTTAAAAGTAAGAGGTGTCAACCAAGGTGTCTACAAATTTACTCATAAACATTGAACATAAAGCAGAAAATAGTTATTAACCACACATTTGTGCTGGTCATTCCTTGTATATAACTTTTGATCATTGACGTAAATCACTTAAAACAGTTCATGTTTTCCCAAGCAATGATAAGCAAATTTGGTGCATCTTTACCCGCGTTCCGAACTGAGCCTTTCAGAAGCGCGACTACAGTTTTCAGCATCACACAGGTCAATTCTCTTTCTGGATCCTGAATGCCAAGAGAGGACTCTTTGTTTCCTGCCACATTTAAGAAGCAATAAAAACATTTTAAATGCACATTGTATGATCTCACATCTCTGATTCCCTTAGTTTTCTGTCCTCTTAAGGAAATGTGAATATAATGCTTCCATGATAAAAGAGTGTGCATCCCAATTTATAAGATGTAACTCTACTACCCCTTAGAGCAGTGGTTCTCCAACTGAACCACATTAAAACCTCCCAGAGGGCTCATTGTTAAAATCCAGAAGCTGGTCCCCTTCCCCCGTGTTTCTGTCTTAGGAGGTCTTGGGTGGAGTCCCTATAATTGCATTTCTAACAAGTTCCCATTTGATGCCAACAGTCAGGTCTGAGGGCCACACTTGGAGAATCACTCTTGTACACAATCCCTGAGGCCCTGCCTTCTTGACTTTCCTTTGGACACTTTTCTAGTTTGGCATTCATGCTGGGAAAGGGACTGCCAGCTCACACCATAGGCATGAGATGCTTGAGAGATTATGGAGTAGATAGGTGTCACCATTAGATCCATGAGGGAAGACCAAGTCTATGTGTTCACCATTGAATTCCTGGTGCCAGAAACTGCCTGACACAAGAGGGAAGTTCAGTAAATTTGGGGGGAATGAAAGAATGAGTGAGTAAAGGTAGAGTTAATTAATCAGAAGACAACATACCCAAGAAACAGCAAGAAACACATAAGACTAGAGGCACGAAGATCAGATGCATCAGTTCACACACACAAAAAAAGCTCCAATTCTCTTGGGAATGGTAATAGGTCTTCGACTGGGTTTAAAAGTAAATTCAATGTCAGGCTGCTGAAAAGCAATACACAGCTAAGATAACACACAAACATTAAACAAAAAGACTAGGCAAAGAACAATAGACAGAAGCACATAAAAGGGACTCTTTAAGACCTGGCTTCGGGCCCATCCATGCCAAGATGGGAGCAACTAATCCTAAACCCTGTCACTCCCAGGGAGACAGAGGTCCTTCCTGGACTACAACAGGGGTGTGAGAGCTTCTCCTCATTTGTTTATCTCATGTAGCTCAGGGTATATGGGGATAAGATGATTAACATTCTCAAGCACTTATTATGCACCAAGCACAACAATGGATACTTTTTGGATATTTCCTCATTGAATTTTCACTATCTATATATCTCCATTTTACAGAGAAAAAAAGGCTCATGAAAGTGAAGCAAATTGCTTGGGATAACTCAGCTCGTGAGCAGCACAGCCAGGATTCAGCCCAGGGCTATCTGGCCTCAGTGCCCATGCTCACCCTTTTGGCTTCTTCACATACAGAGGTCCAGGATGCAGACAGACTGACGGCTTTAGCTTGATACTGAGCAGAATATAAAAGGGGCCAATGGCCAGAGAGCCCAAGCTCCCTCCCAGCCAGTATAGTAGGAGAAGGAGAAGAGGCCAAAAAGTTACAAACTGAGTCTTGTCCTGGTGTTCCTCCAGACTGAAGTCCCAGAGGGTCAGGTGTAGGCAAATTTATGGAAAGCCAGAGGAACCGAAAGGATTTTTTATGCTCTGATCCTATTTGAAAGTTGGTGGAGTTGGAGTTTCAGACTACCACAAAGAGTGGCCCCAGCAGGGTATGTTTATGGGTGTGGTCAGGCAGTGAGAGAACCCAGGCCAGCACTCCTGAGTGTACTCCCACTGGACAAAGGGACCCTGAAGTCCCATGGGGGAGTGCAGAGACTGTTGATGTTGATAGTGCAGGGGCTGAGGCAGGGGTAAAGGGATAATAACAGGGAGCCATATGTGTATGGCCCAGCAGGCTACACAACAGTGTAGCCAAAATTCAGAGGTAACAAGCTGATGGCAATGATCCCTGCTCCAAATGAGAGACCCCTGGACAACATGACAACATCAAGTGAGCAAGACAGCCATATCCCAGATTACCCAGACAGATGCACCACCAAGATCCCCAGCTTCTTTGAGCTCCCATTCCCCTTTGTATTACTGAAGACCTGTTTCGCCCCTGCTGTTGCCCCATTTACATACTCAGACAATACTCATGGCAGAAACTGACTGAAACCTAAGAATTCACTGGCCTGAGTTAGCTCCATGAGTCTTTAAAATTATATCTATGCCCCTCATCTCTCCATGGGAAAGATCTGGCCAGTTATAGAAAATGGGGAGGCTGCTGCTCTGTGAAGTCATATGCCCTAGGGATAACTTCCCTGAGGACAGAGTGACATGGGTATGCTCACTTTCTCTGTTATGTTGATGAGTGGCAGGGTAGGCTGGCAGAACAGGTTCAGCTAAAAAAGGGTCCCACCCTGTTCCCCCTCCCACCTCTGAGGCTTAAGCGCACCTGACTTCCTTAGGATCTTGGCCTGCTTCCGTAGCTGGGCTAGCAGCAGGCCCAGGAGTCCTGAGTCCCTGAAAATGTCTGTGAAGAGTGGGTCTGCACCAGCTATCCTGAGGACACTCTGCAGGGCCACAAGGGTGCAGAGTGGCTCAGGGCTCTCCTTGATCAAGCGCTGCACCTTCCCCAGGATCTCGTGGGGCACATAATGCAACTCAAACACCAGGGCCTCCACCAGCTGGAAGAACTGCACCTGTACTTGGGCTGGCTTCAGGAATATGATCTCTACAAACTGTGAGATGGGCTGAAGGGTCCACTCCAGCAGAAAGAAGTTTCGAGCATTCCAGTCCCACATGGTCCTGATGGCCAACAGGATTTGTGTGCAGAGGATGGAGTCTCTAGCTTTGTGGAAAACATTTTGCAGGACTTGGAAGGCCTGAAGATTCTTAATGATTGCCCCTGAAAATGTAAGAAGAAATAATCCTACAAGTCATTTTTCCTGCTTATGTCTAGAAATAATGATTGCATTGTCATCCAGAAATATCATTTAAAGTCTCCATTTTCTGGCTTCTATAGGTAAACATCTATCAGAAATTCAGAAATCCAGCTGCCCAGAATGTAAGACCAGAACTGCATTGTCCAAGATGTGGTGGCTAATTGAGCCCTTGAAATGTCACTCTGAACTGAGATGTTTCAGGAGTATAAAAATGCACACTGGATTTCCAAGATGTAGCACAAAGAAAATAATGCCAAAAAATTATTAACAATTATTTGTAATGATCACATGTTGAGATAATGATAGTTTAGGTATTCAATAGTATATTGGGTTAAATAGAATTATTATGAAAAATAATTTAAGCTACTTTTTAAAAATATGGCTTCTAGAACATTTAAATTAGGTAATATGACCCATCATATGTTCATTGGGTAGCATTGGGCTGAAGGATTGGTTTCAATCAATTAAAATAAAATTATTTTAAAGATTACTGAGCCAAGTTCATACCCCTCCTTCCTTTCTCTCCAGCTTCCAGGATATCTCATCCTTTCTTGCCCAGGAGACACTTCATGTGAAAATTTGCCTCCAACCCTCTCTGTTTCAGACACCTGAGATGTTTCTGGAAATTCTCTCTGATCCAGGCACTTCCTTGTAAGACTGCTAGAGACCATTCAATGGCTCTTCCTAGACTGACCCCCAAGCTCTGAAGCCTCTGCATTCTGGTCTGCTCAGGTCTCTGTGCCCATTTCCCCAGACTCATCCAGATGTTTTCAGTCACCACTTATTTCCTCAGGCTGTACTTTCTGTCCTTAAACGTATTCTTCCTTTCTACCTGGACAACCCACACTTGGCCTTGAAACCTCATATTTTGTGCAGGGCTTCTTGACTGACACAGACAGCTGGCCCACTTGCCTGGTATAGCTACTGTGCCTGATGCTTTTACCAGTGAGGTTATGCACATTATTTTACAGAGTAGATTATGGTTCAGTGTATGCGAGATAGTCTCTTCAGAGAATATTCAGAGAGCATACATCTGGTACCCCAGCATGGGGCAGAGTGGTTGTTGCCCAATGCACCAGTGCATGTTGATTGAGTCCATCAATAATTCAATCAGTATCACAAAGAACTGAGGAGGCACTGACTCAAAGCCTTGGGGAATGTTTCAGGGTCATCTCCTCATTATATAAGCAAATGTCACAGGGTACATCATACCAGAGATGATGGTGGTAAACAGAGGCTCCCTCCATTCTTTGAGAGTCTTCACCTTTATTAAGCAAACATTTACTCTAATTCCCACCCAAAACACCTAGAAAAATGTATGAAGGAGAGATTTTAAATCCATAAGCAATCTCCCTAAAGGCATGATAGAATTGGACCCTAACGTATCACTAACGGGTGACAAGCGTTTATTTCTTTACAAATAATTGGGGAAAAACCTGTGTACCCTTGTCAGGGCAGAGCACTAACTACTGCCTGGCCCCCAGGAGACAAAGGATGACCCACCAGAAGCCTCGTTATGGAACTTGAAGCCTTCCAACTGAGGGTAAGTGACACTGTCAAACACCTTCAGCTCTGACCTCCCACAGGTCGTCAGCCACACCACCAGCCTGAGGAGCTCATCCAGGTGGGGATCCACTTCGCTCTGGGTCAGTGCATCATACCTGCAGAGACAGATGAGGCCAGTTCCCTGGATTCTTAGACAAAGCAGACACATTTGTTCATGGTGCCCCTCACTGGGGTACAGAGGCAATAAAGACTGAGGTGCTGGGAAAGACCCCAAAGGTCTCCACTGAGTTAGCAGTAAAAGTCAATGGAAGTGCCCTGGGTAAAGGTCACTGTGTTTGCAAAGGTCAGCCTTAGATCTAAATGTGCAGTCAGAATACAGAGAAACCTGGGAAGAGCAATAGCATCTGCTCATGAAGAGGCTATTTTCCATGGCTGGACCTCCCAAAAGGCATGTGCTTTGGGAAGGAGTACCTCCAAAATCAGAGATTCAACATTTCCAAAGAGCAATAGTAACAATAACAACAACAAAATAAAACATCATGGGAAATAATCCCACTTTATTAGACTTCCTTATGTTTATTTCAAAGTTGAGTATTGTTTCTATTTTTTAGCTACTTATGTGTAGGTGGGCTATGCTGCTCTTCTTGTGGAAAAGGATCTCTCAAGTCTTATTCCAGCTCTGTCATGTCAAGAGTAAAAGTGTTTGCAGTGTGACTTCAGTTAAGGCAGAAAGGAAAACCAATGAGCTGCAGTGGATCCTTCCTGACATTCCCCTGAACAGGCTCATTTCCCTCTCCTGACTCCCACAAGAAGTCTGGGGAAAACCAACCACCCATTTAACAACAACAAAAAAAAAACATTCAAGAACTGCTATGCCATAGACCTTCACATTAGCAATAGCCAGTTAGTCATAGTTCAGACTAATGTAAAATGCAGTATCACCATAGGGACATTTATTGTTATGTCTTTTCAGAGGAAGGCCCTCAGGATTGTCATTTAATCACATCTTTACCCCCTCACCTAAGTCACCCCTCTAGACTAGAACCCTAGCTCGAAGTGAAGTCCATGAAGCACATTATAGGCTGAATCCCACAGGGAAAGGGGCTTCTCCTATTCAGAGCAAAGCCCAAGGAAATATGCACGGCCTTGCCCTAAAGTAGCTTCCCTAAGATCAATGGAAGAGTTTGGAAAATACAGACATTTCTTTGATTTCCATCTTTTGGCTTATCCAATCCCTGGACCCAACCTGAGGATGACATGGCTAATCAGAATAGAACAAGTTGGAAGAATCAGACCTGACCCAGCTACAGAGTGTCTACATTTGGGTTCCCATGGGTCAAAAATTTGAGGGAGAGACAGTAGTTTATTTTTGAGTTGATCTGAAAATACAAGTAGGGGAGATGCTCTGTGCAACAGAGAAGGGAAAGGAGCCAGTTTAGAGCATTATCAAGTACATGCCTCATCAGGCAACTGGAGCTTAATCCTTGGGGACTCTGGGAGGCAGGTAGAGTTCACCCTTCCCCCACCCACAAGAGGCAACTTTCTGGGTATTTCTCCATCAGCTTCTACCAATCATTGGTTGAGGACTGCCCCTCTAGTTTGTTGATTTCTTTGCACTTCCAGCCCTCAAGCATACAGGCAGAGTCCATTACAGCAGTCCCAGAAAGCCCTCCAGCACAGTAATGTAGGTTCTGACAGGTGTCTGCCAGGCTGCCAGGCATGAAAGTGGTGCCTACCACCAAAGGGACTTAGTAAAATTAGTATCACAACCACCCATTTGTTTTCTAAGGGAGTGGCTCTGGCTCCCAAGCCCAATGCACGTTGAATGACCTTTTCAATAAAAGTCTCTCTGTCCATGGTCTATATACAGAGATTGTATTTCAGAAGACACTCTGAGAAGCCTCCATATGTGTGTTTCTTTAAAGCACTCCAAATGATTCTGAGGAGTACCGAGGTTTGGAGGTTTCCTCCCTACCAAACATATCCACTTACCGGAGTAACACTTTGAGTAGCAGAGGGTAGCCCTCCGCATTCTCAAACTCCATGAGCAGAGCCGAGGAGACAGAGTAGGAGTCTTTCACAAAGCCCAAGATGAGGCTCATAGCCTCTCCCAACTCTGGAGCAAGGAGAGAGTCTGTAAGCCTTGAGAGGTTTTGGAGGGAGATCTTGACACAATCCATTGCTGAGAGGAAAAAGACACCACTGTTTGCTCAGAAGCAATAGCTTTTCTACCACAATCATTCCCTCCCACCCCACCCCCTTTAAACTTGGATCAAGAAGACTACTCCCTTGCCCTGGCTGTTGTGGCTCAGTGAATTGAGCACTGGCTGGGGAAAAAAAAAAGACAACTCCCCCTTGGGAAGTGCTATCCTGAAAGCCCTGTTCTCCAGGTTCAGATGGGGAGCAGAAGAACCAGGAAGAAGAAAGCCCTCAGACCTCTCTTCCTAATTCCCAGCATGTGGAGCTTCTCAGTTCACCAAGTAACAAGATGCATGACCTAAGACCCAAGCACTGTGGAAGGCCTTAAGGAAACAGCACTGGAGATGAGCAGAAATTAGCTTGATGAAGAGTGTAGAGAATATATGGATGTGGGAAGGTGAGGCAGTAAAAAGATAATGTCTCAGCTACTAAAGAATCAGGGGTCTGGAGCCCTTCTGTGGAACACAGGAAGGTGGGGGAAAGGTCCCACTCATGTGAGAACTGGCAATGGTGGTCCCCCAGAGCTGTGAGAAGCCAGAGGAAATCTGAGTCAGAAGAGAAATGTCATTAGAATTGCATTTTGACTGATGGCCATTTTAAGGGCTCTTTCATTGGGAAGTCTCTTCCAAGTACTGAGGAAGTCAGGAAACATGCCTGCTTGGAACCTGAGATAACTATGCCCAGTCCCTCAATGGTGAGGCTGAGATGAGTGGAGTCTACATGCCAGACAGGACAGCCCTAGAGTTCAGGGCTTGGCAGGTGACTTCCAGTCCAGCCCCTTACTTTCTAACCTTCTCCTCAACCCATATGCCCACAAAAACTACTCATTTCTCTAAGAGGACACAGTGTTCAGAGATGTAAGTTTTCATTTCCAGTTGAGAATAATGACGCAATGAGGGCCTTTTACCACTAATGCAAGCAGTTTTTTCTTAGGGGTCTACAACTCTAGCCTGTAAGCAGTGGTAGGGGTTGGAGGGGATCCGAGCTATAAAATGCCTCGGGCCCAGTCAGCCCTAGACTACTAACACTGGGCCCTGGCTTCTCCAGGAATGTAAATCCCTCAACTGGTGCTTCTACTTCATCTGGGCTCCACTGCAACAACAGGGTGGGCTGGTCACCGTGGCAGCATGGCTCAATTGCTTGGAGTATTGTCCCATAAAATGGAAGGTTGTGGGTTCAATTCCTTATCAGGGCACATGCCTAGGCTGTGGGTTTGATCTCCAGTCTGGGAGCATTCAAGAGGCAACCAATCCATGTATCATTCTCACATTAATGTTTTTCTTCCTCTCTTCCCCCACTCCCTTCCTTTCTCTCTACAAAAGCAATGAAAAAATCTTCTCAGGTAAGGATTTAAAAAAAAAAGAGGGAGGGCTCATTGAGAGTTCCCAGCTCTCACCAGCTGATTCCCTCTGCTATAGAAAGAAAACAGATCACAGGGCCACTGTTTGTAGACCAGCAGCTCACACTGGAACCTCTGACTTAATTCCAAAAAGACTCCATACCTTGAGGTCAGCCCAAGGGATGGACGGCTGTGCTCCCAAGAGGTACTTTAGCTATGAGGCTAAGGAAATGCCACAGAGTGGGTAAGGCAGTCAGCTGTACTGAACCTCTGTCAGAATGCCCCCCTTGAGTCAGCTTTGCAGTCTCCCTTATGGCCCCATGATAGCCCAGTTGCTGAGAGGAGGCCCAAACAGTTTCCCAAGACTGTGTGAGCCATGGCACCCAGTGTGATCTGTGTTCTTGGGAAGAGGCAAGAGAGGCTGAAGGAGCCCCTGGTCCTGCCAGTGGAGTTGGTGCCCTTAGCACCTTGCCTTGACCCCACCAGGTATTGATGCTGCGATGTTGACAGCTGTGGGGAATCCACCCTGTGCCAAGCACTGCCTAAGCACTTCAAATATGTCAATTCACCAAAGCCTCACAATAGCCCAATTGAGATCAGCAGGATTCTTGTCCCCATTTTATAGACAAAATAATTGGGACACCCAGTCAGTTAAGTGTCCACGGCCACTCAACTATAAGGCAGAGCTGCCTCAGAACTGATGATCTTAACCCCTATATGTCCTGACCAGAGCAGAACCTAAGGCACTGGGATCAGGCACCTCCAAGTTTAAATTTTATTCTCTTCTTGGAAAGCTGGGGAAACTTGGCAAATTCTTCAGCAAACACTAATCTGTTTCCCACTGCAAAATGGTAATAATCTTTAATATCTATCTCAAAGAAACAAATGAAAGGACATAGAAATGGGTCCAGCACAGTTTCTGTTTAACAGTATGCAGGCAGTAAATGAGTTCCCCTTTCCCTTTCTCCTTCAATGGAGCATCAAAATGAACAATACAAGCACTTTCATGAATGGAATCAAGCAACATATGGTTATCTATTGGACATAACCAGGCCTTGATAAAAACCTTGTTTGTTCATGTCTTTTTTTGTCCCAGAAATCTATCTTGACTCTGCAAGAGCATAACAGGGTCTTGTTGTGGAAAGTGGGCCCAGAGCCCACCTCTGGTCCCCTGAGGACTTACCCTGCAGGTATTGGATGATGCTAAGGTTCTGGGCCTTGGAGATTGCCCTCAGCACACAGAAGGTGGGCTCCTTCCAAAAGCTGCAGCTGTGCTCCCGAAGACAGGTTGTGGCAATCACTAAAGACTGGAGCTCATTCCCTGAGAGAAGTCCCTCCAGCCCCTGAGACTCACTGCAAATGTTGAGCAACATCTGAAAGAGAGAGAGAGAGAGAAGGGAGGAAGGGGGAGGGAGGGAGGGAGGGAAGAAGGAAGGAAGGGAGGAAGGAAGGAAGGAAGGAAGGAAGGAAGGAAGGAAGGAAGGAAGGAAGGAAGGAAGGAAGGAAGGAAGGAAGGAAAAGCCAAGAAGACTCTAATTAGGAAGCCTCCTTCCTGCGATAGACTTTTTCCCTAACTTTCAAGAACACTGATGGGCATGTGTCAGCACAAAAGATGGAGTTGTATGTTGCCAACCTCTGCCCCAGATCAGCATGGTCAAAAGTTCCACCTAAAAAAGGCTAAAGGGTTTTGGCTGTCTGAACTCATAACCCCTGTAAAAGCAGTAGTTATCCCTTCCAAGTCAGAATAACAGAAATATTTAACTTGGGTGTCTTTTTTATAGAAATGCCAGGATAATTCCATCAACTGTTAAGCATTGAATTAACAGGACTCAGTGCTATTTAAAAAGCAAGATGTATTCCTGAATCCCTGGTCAGCATTCAACCTCTACTTCTCAATAAGATCATGCATGCTGCCCTGTAACCTCCTAACTGAGGTCCTCATTTCTGCCAATTCAGTCTCCCTGTGGACTTCAGACACAGTCTATCCACTTGGGGTGAATAACAGTACACAGAGCTCTTCAGGGACTTGCCCTGCCTCCTTTCTCTTTGGCTCTTGATGGTTTAACTTTGCATATTTTCCAGTTTGGAAAATATGGAAAGCTCCTTCCACCTGAACCTGAACCTCCAGCACCACAAAAGAGTCCCAACTGGACAGCCCTGGGACTGGCTACAGGTTCCTGTATGTGGATGTGGCCCACACCCCTTGGCTCAGATGACTGTTTCTGCTCCTGGCCCTGCTCTTCCCCATCACAGCTCTACCCCAACCTTCAGCTCTGGTTCAATGCCATCTCCTCAAAACAGCCTCTTTTAAGCTCTACTATAAAGCAGGTCCCCTCTCCTCACTTCCCAGCACACATTTTACTTCTCTTTCAGAGCACTTGAAAACTGGACATGCTGATTTATTTATGTGACTATTTCCCCCACTTGGCTTCCACATCTTTTTTCTTTTTTTAATATGTTTTATTGATTATGCCATTATAGTTGTCCCATTTCCCCCCTTCATTTCCTTCCACCCTGCACACCCACTCCCCCCATTCTCCCCCTTTAGTTCATGTCTATGTGTCACAAGTTCTTTAGATTCTATATTTCCCATACTATTCTTGTCCTCCCCCCTGTCTATTTTCTACCTACCATCTATGCTACTTATTTTCTGTACCTTCTCCGCCCTTATCCTTCTCTCACTCCCCTGTTGCTAACCCTCCAGGTGATCTCTGTTTCTATGTTTCTGCTCCTGATCTAGCTGTCCACTTAGTTTGCTTTTGTTTTAGATGTGGTTGTTAATAACATCTTCTTTCTGTCATGTATATGAGAAAGAGGACTGTGATCACTGAAGGAACCATCAGTCTGGCATACAGCCATACCCAGGAGGAGCTTCATGTTTTTTGTGGAATTAAATAAGGAAAATCCTGGTGAACACAGATGAGTTCAATCACTGTGGTTTGCACTCTGTCCATCCTTGAGAAAAATGGTAAAGACAGAGCTGCACTCACTCCCTGAAGAACATGTAACAAACACAGGATAAATATTTGTTTACATGCCCAGCACTGTGTCCTGGCCACCATTTGGAATATGATTATATACAGGTAAATGAAGCCTAAATTTCCAACAAATACAGTTTAGGGGATAACCCACCACAAGTGAAAATCCAACAGAACTTGTTTGATACTCTCTGGTAATGATGCCTCTGGCTTGAGAATTAGTCTAAAATGGATGTTAATCTACATGCAGATGTCCAACAGACAGCTGCACTTGAAAATTTCCAAATGGTCCCAAGTACCTGCTTGTGTGAGACACTGCCCAGGCCCTGGACATATAGACATGAGTAAGACACACAGCCCTCTTCACCCTCCCTCACCCTCAAAGATCAGAGAAGCAGAAGGGTTTTCTGTAAACCTCAGCCTCCCAGAAGATGGGAAAGTGGAACATGTCAGTGAGGGGCAGGTGAAGGAGTAAGGAGTTATGTTAAAAATTGCTAATGGCAGTCAGAGAGGATAGGAGAGATGGGAAATGACAAGAGGAAACCAAATGTAGTGCTCAGTAGTCAGATGGTTAAAAGCCTGAATGAGCAAGCTTGAAGCCAGATTGCTGGGGCTCCACCCAGCCCCTGAGCTCATGTTTACTCATTGTACCTTAGTTTGCATAGAATCAGGAACACAGTACTATACATGCCCCAAGATGGAAGACAGGACTCTTGGAGGTGACAGAGGAGAGGTCATGGAGCAAGGTATACAGCAAGTACTTAGAAAATAGGGGCTACAATTATGCAAGTGGAGTTAGATGCTTGTTCTCAGAGGGAAAGTGGACATAGATGGAAGATTCCCAATGCTGGGCAGGGCCAGCAGGGCCTGGCAACACAGACTAGAGAAGGAACTGGTGGGGCCAAGTGGAGAAGAAGGAGCTTATCTTTCTGGGAAAATAAAAACAAGCAGAGTATTGATAGAGAGATACAGTGAGATAGAAGAAGAAAATCAATTTTCCCAACACACAGGCTTCCTGGTATTTGCAGTACACGGGAACAGAGGGGTGAGCTGGGATATTTCGGAAAACAGAGAAGCTCCAGAACTAGGGCCAAGAAAGATAAGAGTACCTCTGAGAAGCAGAGTGCAGCTTTGGCCCAGAGTTTTACCCCTCCTCTCACTCACCTGCACAAACACCCTCTGAACTTGAAGGTCATTCTCAAAAAACTCATCCTTTTCCATAGGAAAGACAAAAAATAGGTAGAGACACTGCAGAAGCAGGGCTGGGAGCCCAGATTCAGCAACTCTGCCCAGCGTCTCCTGCAAAGGAAGAGCAGAGGCAAAGTGACCCAAAGGGCAGAACTGGCCACCCTAGTTCAGAGCCATGCTGTTGGTGTATGCAGCCATTGTAGCTGGAACATGTGTAAGTCATTGCTGTCTCTGGGCAACACAGTCTCCAGTAAGAATGGAGATAGTCATAGGACCTACCCAGGGTGACTGTGCAGTTTTAGCTTAGATAAAGTGTATGCTGCGTGTTCAACAAATGTTATGTCTTTTATAAGATAGATAGATGATAGGGAGGAAAGCAGGGAGAGAGGGAAAGAAGGAGAGAGTGATGCAAAGCAAAAAACAAGGGCTTCCTTAGAAAACCACACCACTGACTTGGTAGGTTACCTCCTGATTAGGGCACTGGGAACTCAGTCAGAAAGGGATAGTTGATAACAAGTGCAAACAACTGAATTAAGAATCTGATCAGCATCCTTCCCATCCCCTCATTCAGATCTAAAACCCCACTGTGACCTATAGGTGAAGACCACTAACTAAAGCTATGAGACAGAGGAGAGAAGACAGGCTGCTGGAGAAGTGACCCACCTGAGTGCAGAGCTCCCGGGGGGCCTCTCTTCCATGGACTCTGCCTATAGCTCCACCAGGATTATTATGGCAACCCTCTTTGTGTGTGTATGCATATGTGTATGTGCAATATGCAAACATATATGGGGTTCATCTAAAATATATTGTCCACACAATCTCCACCTGATTGACTAATCTGACAGACATGGTGGTTAAACTAGAAAAAACAAAAAGGAAAAATGCACAGTCCAGGCCAGGCCAGGAATATCACGAGGTACACTGGGTCTACCTTGCCCCTAAAAGCTCCTAATGCCAGTGCTGTCCACCCCTTTCCTTGACACCTGGCTCTACAGTGACCCTGCTTGGGGTAGCTCTCCTTGTCCCCCCTGCTACACTGGCTCCACTGAAAGCCAGCTGCTTACCTTTCTCACTGCCTTTGGGTTTAGCTGCTCACAGTGGAAGACCAGTCTTTAGGTTAGTGTTTTACTACTCAGACTGTAAACGGTCCTTTCCTAGGAGCAGAAGAGCCCTGCTCTGTGCTTCAGGCTGCTCCACCTGACAGTGCTCTGGGCAGTTTACACAGAGGAAGAGCCAGGTGGCCCTCCCTCTGACTGACATCTGCAGCTCTACTTTACCCACCCCCACTTACTATTTCCAAAGTCTCATCTGATGTCTGTGTTGCCATTAGACTGCTCTGTGCTAGATCTATCACAGTGGGCACTCCCTATAGATGATGGATGAATGAGTCTCTGGGACCACCCTGCATGGACTCTCTGGCCATTTCTGCTGATGGCCACAGAAGCCAGGACTGCTTCTGTGTGAGAGGACAACACACATTAGCAAACCACTCAGAAGAAAGCACCAGGTCCTCTCTTCACAGTGAGAGGATATGACTAGAGCCAGATGGGGTGCAGGAAGGAAGAAAAGAGGGAGAGGCCTCCATTGTGCATTGTCTCTGGACTAGCATACATGAACAGGTGACTACAGTTGTGGCTCCTACCGTCTGAGTTTGATAGGAGGCAAAAAAAGAGAAGCAACTCAGAGCATGGGCCCTAAATGAGTCAGACATACTGCAGTTACACAACATGGGTAAACTTGATTGCTCACCACTAATGTGACGTCACCATAATCCGACTCCTATGGTTTGGGAGGATTAAGGAGCACAGTAACTGGGACACACCCAGCCCTGCCCTGACACACAGGAACATCAGCCATTTCAATCTTCACAGCAACCCTAGAAGTGAAGCGTTATCACCCTAAATTCTAAAATTAGCAACACAACAGGGTCACAGAGAGGTAACACCATTTGCTTGAGGTTACACAGTTTGTCAACTGAAAGACAGTATTCAAACGCAAATTTCAGAATTGCAGAAGTCCATGTTCTATAACAAAGGGTAAATAAGAAAGGAGAAGCAAGAAATCAGTTTCATGGAAAGAAAGACTCTTGAGACATACCACTGCCCTGTGCTGAGACTTCCCTGTACATGTGGGTGAGGAATGCCAGGGCTGGGCCAGTGGGTTCTGGCACTTACCGAGTCTGTCCCTGTGAGCACAAACACTGACTTGAGCAGCAGGTAGCCATCCTGATCCGTATCCCCCTTCCACCTCAGCAACTGCCCAGCTGCTGCCCGTGCTTGCTCTGATGACAACACAAGAAGAGGAAAAAGTGTCACCACTAGAATGATACAGTGACTTGTTCACCCAGTTTCCTGTCCACTTGGGCTCCTTTTAATGGGAGATGCACCTTAGCACCTTTAAGGCACTCCTGCCTTCCCCAAAAGGCCACCTGAATCTACACCAAACTTGCATACACAGCCAGATTAATCTCCTTGAAGGACAATTGTTAGCATGCAATCATCCCTGTTCAACAACCATGGCTCCTTATTGCCAAATGATGAGCAAGTTCCTCAGTGATAAACTTCCCATAATCCATAGTCTTCCCCTCACTTTCTGAATCAGGCAGCCCTTTATATTACTGGGACTCCTGCAATTTATACTATGCTCACACTATTCCTTTCCCCTGGAATTTCCTCCATAGTCCAGCCACCAGAGTCCAGCTCCCTGAGTGGCAGGATGCAAGTCAGGGACCCCACAACAAAAAATATACTTTGAGGCCCTGGCTGGTGTAGCTCAGTGGATTGAGCGCGCGAGCCTGCGAACCAATTGCGGTTCGATTCTCAGTCAGGGCACATGCCTGGGTTGCAGACCAGTTCCCTGCAGGCCAGTTCCCAGCGGGGGACGCACGAAAGGCAACCATACATTGATGTTTCTCTCCCTCTCTCCTTCCCTTCCCCTCTAAAGATAAATAAATAAAATATTTTTAAAAATATGCTTTGACTTCTGTGTCTTTTCTGCATCAAGCTCTTCATTAAATATTCAATTGCATGTTTTATCCCAGCACTTCCCCTCAGAACCCCTGGGTGTGTGTGGGTGTGTGTGGGTGTGTGTGGGTGTGTGTGTCTGTCTGTCTGTCTGTCTTCCTGTCCCTCCCAGGAGCGGCAGAGTTCCCTAAGTCCCCTTTCTGTGCTGCTCTGCTAGCCTTTCCCTTTGTTCCTAAGGTACTCAGTGGCAGAACTGGGCTCACTGGTCTGTTTGGAAAGCACTATTCTAACTCCACTAGAAAGGAAAGAGGGACAGAGCAGGAGGCCTCAGAGGAGTCTTCAGAGCTGTTTTGTTCTTCCATAAGTTTTCTCCAGGACCTCTCTTCTCTTACCTGCAGGCTTTCCAACAAGCACCTTCTGTATTTCTTGGGCTAGCTGGTTGGAAACCTCTTCAGCCAGCTTTTGGAGACTGGGAAAGCAGATGATTCCCACGGAGTGTTCCCAGGCCTGATGCAAACAACAGGATTTGGTCAGACATGTCACAGCTACAAAGCAAAGCCAGAGAGTCACCTCCCTGTTTCCTTGTCAACCCAAACCAATGGTTCAACTCACTTTCTCTGGTGTCCAAAGACCACTACATTACCTACCCATGGGCTTCTACTGTATCCCTAACCTTATGCCTGTTGAATTCCAATGAGCTCCAAACCCATAGCCAGCTGGGCCCTGGACATCTCCCCTGAACGCGTGCTCTTGAAACATCAAACACACATCACTGAATCCATTGCCTTCCTCTAAACCTGTTGCATCTTATCTCAGCAAATGGCCTTGTAGGGGGGTGCATCCTGGGAACCCCCAAAAGAAAGATTTATAATGGGGTCCAGAACTCAGGGTGTCCAGGAAATATTAAAAATATGGGATGTCTTTACCCCCACAAGTCTGAGCTGGGGGGTGGGATACATGAAGCAGGGCCTTTGAGTTCTTTTGCATAGCAACAGCTTTGCAGATAACCTCTAGAATGGTCATTTAACATATCTATAACCTTTAACTAGTTTCATAGATATGTTAAATAGCTGTGGCCAAGCTTTGAGCCAGGGAGAAGGGAGTGACTTCCACCCAAGATGTAACTGGGAGGCAACTCCCCCTGGTTACAGCGCCTGCATGAGAGCTTGGAGATGATTGGCTCCACTCCACAGGGCCATACCTGCCCAGACTCACTATGGCAGCCCAGTAAAGCTGGAAGGATATGAGAGTGCTGGCAAGTGTAGCCAATTGTGGGGGGAGTTGGAAATAGGGCTGCAGAGGAAGGTGGGTGGGGGGATATAAACCCAGACACAGCAGCCATTGAAGAGAGAACCACACATTTTTGGCAGAATAGAGACCTCCACAGCCTTGGTGAGGGAGAACCACGCAGCTCTGGCCAGAGTGAGGGACCTCCCCCACCACCACAGCCATGAGAAGAAGAATCATGCAGCTTTAGCAGAGAACTGCCACATGACTTTAGCAAAGAATCACCATGCAGCTTTCTATTTCTTTTCCTGAGATACAGTACCCCATACCAGGCAAAGTGGGGAAGGAAGGACTGTGCGTGTTTGTGGATGTTTTAAGGGACTTTGGGATTTTGACAAAGACAGCAAATCATTACTCTTAAGTCTGTATAACTTGAATAAATAATTCCTTTCCTTTTCACCAATCTCTGACATGAAGAGCTATAATTCTCTGGCAACGGTAAAGGTGAACCTAGTACTAGGGGGACCTCCTTCTCTGGCAGCCAATCAGGGAAAATGATGGGAGATCACATATGCAGTAGCTCTAAAGTAATACAACTACTTGTACATGCATAGTAAAATCCTGCCAAAACTAGCCAGGAAGGATCCGCCCTATAAGAATAGAGTCCCTCCAGCCCATGAGGTCAATCTCTGCTTGGAGCTGGCCTGCTCCCATGTTCTCTGCTATAAACTCTGGGTGTTTGGTTCAATTCTTTGTCCCAATCTCCAAGAACCTGGTTACCTGTGCCCACCCGTGACAGCCTTGCCAAGCACCCAGTTGCCCTTGTGGGAAATTCCAAGAGTGATTTGCTAGGTCTCCCTCTCCCTCACTTTCCTTACCCCATCAATTGCTATATCTTACCAATTCTCCTCTTCTCAGAATTTTCCCTGGTTTCTGTAATAATACTGTTCCTAATTTTGCTTTTCATCTGAGTCTTTTCCCTTGAAAAGGGATCTGAAAGATCTGACTGAGATCCTTCTTCTAGAGAAGGTAAGAAAGGCATCAAATTGTGAAGAGAAATCATTTCAGTGTATTTCCTTGCTACAGATACTATATTTGCTAAAAAAATAAAAAAAAACTTTAAAAATCTTTTTTATATTAAAGATGCTGTATACAAAATGAAGATGCAGGCCACAGATTGGTAGAAAATATTTGCAATGCATATAACTGGCAAAGGAATTATATCAAGACTGCTATAAATTAATAAGATAAAGACAAAGAACTTGATTTTTAAAAAACAGGCAAATGAAACAAGTAACTAATAACAGATAAAATAAATATAAAATTACTGATAATAAGGAAAATGCAAATTAAAACCACAATGAAATATTTTATACCTTTCAACTTGGTAATAATGAAAATCCTGACAACATGTGAGTGAATGAGAGGTGTAGGAGACCATTCTGCGTGGTGTGGGCCCAGCTCCCACTTGGAGAAGCACAGGACTCACACCCAGGGATAGGTTCTCCCATGGGAAATCAGGCCTGCAATGTGCTTAGGCCACCTTGAGATTTGCTTTTGCTAAAACTTCCTCACCCAGAGTTGAGATAGCAAGTGCTTACTATAACTTCCTAAAATCCATGCTATAAGTCCCCAGTATGAAGTGTAACCGATTCAACCACTTTTCCCTTTTCATTTGCTAATATCCTTCTGTGATGTGATTAATAGCATCAGCTCCTTTGTTTTCTGTAGAAGGTAACCTCCTAAAGCGAACCTGTGCACAGGAAAGGAGGACCATCAAGTGATGTGAGCAGAAACCCAATAAAGGCCTGTTATGGCAGAGGCTGAGGCTTTTTCTCCCTTTAGAGAAAAGCCAGGCTCGCCCTTTTCCTCCACAGGACTTGGTGGTCCATGTGAATGTCTCCTGTCTTATCCACAATGTGGCACACCCCACAAGCCAGAGTCCGCATCAGTGCAGGGCTGCACAACCCCCATGCAGTCTGATGCATGTCCTCTACTGGTGGAGCATCATTTGGAAGAACTTCTTTGAAGAGCATTTAACCAATCCAAGAATGCTAAAGGGGGACATGTGCTACAGCCCAAAAATTCCACTACTAGGTTCCCTAAGGAAAGGCTGGCATACATGCACATGGTGATGTGCATAAGAAATAAGTCTGCAGCATTATCTGTGATTGTGAAAAATGGGAAAAACTTAATGTTCATCAGTAGGACCATGAGTAAATAATTTGCAGCATATTTATATAAGGATACCAATAGAACTGAAAAGGAAATAGAGCTTTGGTTAAACCCATAAATAAAATGTTGAGTGAAAATAGCAAGTTGCATAAGTATATTACAACATGAGCCTATGAAAACCTGTAGAACTATGTATGTTTGTGCATGTATACATATTCCTGATAATTCAACAGACAAGAGTTACCAGTGGAGGAGGGTAGAGGGTGAATGAGCTGTAGAATGCATGCATAGGTAACTTTAGTTTACCTGAAATATATGATTTACTTTACATGGGTGGGGAGTAACTGGGTATTTATTTTGTTTTGAAAAAAACTTTTTTTTCTGAAAATTGTTTTTATTTTCTGTCCTATAAATCAAGTTGTACCTTTCCTTTGTATGTAAGAAAGTAGAGCGTCAGAACTTTGCTAAAACTACAAAAAACAGCTAGATAAATTTTAAACACTATTGCACATTGTAGACCTTCAACAAATATTTCATAGGTGAACACATGATTATGAAAGTCCCAAAATGCAGAACAATGACCAAGTGTATTTTGTACTGGTCTTGAGCTAAACACTGGGCCAAACACTTACATGCATTTTTCCCCCTAATCCTCACAACAACTGGTATTATTATTCCTCCTTTACAGAAACTGAAGCTGAGCCAGAGGATAAGTCCAGAGCATCAGTTAAGCCACAGAGTGGGAAGTTGCATTACCTCATGCATACCTAAGTAGCATGCACATGTCTAGGAAATTTATGGCAACCACCTGGAAACCAGCTATCACTCGGAAACTTTAATCTCTGGGAAGAAAAAGTCAATCCTTTGGCTGGTAACTTGTGTGGTAAGATTATTTCCCTCCCCAGGAATGAGAACTCTGCTATGAAGTCTTCCTAACAAATTCTATGCCCCCTCACTGCACTGGCAAATCCCTCAAAGACCAATTTGCAGGCAATCAACTCAGAAGCATCTAGATCGTCTTTGAGCAGTGGGACTCCAGGATGCACTCTACAATAAAGCAAATTGGGCCACTGTGAGTTGAACAGTAATTGTACACTCAGCCAGATCCTCCCATGGCTCACACTCCTTCCTGGGACCTCAGTGGGCACTTCTGGAAGCTGTGTTAACTCTTTCAGGCCACTGGGGTGCTGTTTGATACACAGAGGCAATCATTTATGGAATGATACCATGGAGACCCCAAAGAGTTAAGGCATCTTCCAAAAGGACCTAATTTTTTTCCAAACTGGGACTTGCATGCTGGAATATTGCTCAATATTTTTAAAAACTTTTATTTACTCACATTATCTAAACTGCACCAACATGCCTTGTGGCTCTCTCCTCACATGGAAGAGAGAAAAAGAAAATGCTACTGTGCTCTCCAGTGGAAAATAAGCAATGACAAAAGCTCTTGAGGAGATGGGAGAAAACCCTCCCTTTTGAATGACAGAGAACCTAGTTGGTTTCCAAGTATGACAGCAATATTACTACTTCTTCATTACTGCAGAGTTTGGTGGTTTGGTCTTTAAGTGAACTCAAAACACTTTTGAGACTTTATATGAATTTCCCCTGCTAGTGTGACACTGTTGAATCTCTCCTTTGTAAATAAAAAAGTGATGCATCAAAATTTTTGTTAGCACAACAAAAATGTCTTTTCCCCAAAATGGGAATAAATCATGTTGCAGCTCCACTCTGACAAGACAGAGTCAAGGATGGACAAGAAAGGGTGTTGACTCTCACCATCTTCTCTGGACACCACACTTGGAAATAATCATTGGTTACTTTTGTTAATATACTTAATATTATTTATGTCTCATCCCTTGTCAGTTGGGTTTCTGCACGTTTTTTAAAATATTTTATTTATTTATTTTTTAGAGAGAGTGGACAGAAGGGAGAAAGAGAAGGAGAGAAACTTCAATGTGTGGTTGCCTCTCAAGCATCCTCTACTGGGGACTGGGCCTGCAACTCAGGAATGTGCACTGACTGGGAATCAAACTGGTGACCCTTTACTTCTCAATCTGGTGCTCAATACACTGAGCCACACCAGCCAGGGCCCCTGCATGGTTTTT